AAAAATAGCTTTTCGAACTTTTCCCACAACTTTCGAACCATAAGAGGTAGAAACTTCATATTTGGTATGCATGTTTCACTAAATAAACTCATACAAATGACACCATGGTCAATGACCTTGTTACCTTGACTGTGAACTTTATGATAAAAATAACTTTTTTCCCGAACTTTTAACATAACTTTTGAACGATAGGAGATACATACTACATTTTTCGTATCATTCATACTCCACTGATTAAGTTCTTTCAAATGAAACCAAGGTCATTGATCCTGTGACCTTGACTGTAAACTATATGCTAAAAATAGCTTTTTCGAACTTTCACCATAACTTATGAACCATAGGAGATGGAGACTTCATATTTGGTATGTATACTCCACTAATATAGTTCTTTCAAATGACATTAGGATCAATGACCTTGTGACCTTGACTGTGACCTATTTGCTAAAAATAGTTTTTTTTAAAACTTTGTTGCCGCCGGGCAAATAGTGTTTCACAAACACATCTTGTTTCAAAATGTTACTCCTTCTACAGTTTTGGTTTGATTTCAATATAGCTGCTGAACTGTAGCTCTCCGAAAAAATATATATTGACAGACCGGAGAGCTACAGTGCCACCCATTGAAAAAAACTATATCTATTGCGCACAAAAAGTGTGCCGTTTCTCGATTTATTTCTCCATGTTTTTAAAACTGTCATCTCAAAATAATACTAATCGTGTGTTCCTAACATATTCTTTCACTGTTTACGCAACAAAACATTACTTACTTTTCAATCAGAACAACTTTCTTGACCTAGCTTCTAGGCTGTTGAAAACAATGAAAACAGATACTTCTAGTCCGTTTTAGCCAAATTATGATTACAAGAAACTTGAAATTAAAAAAAAGCAAAACAGGAGATAAACAGGACTGACAGACGGGAATATGATGCTTATGTCACTGTGGGATAACGAGTGTGAATTTTAAAAAAATCGCTGATCATGCTGTCATTCTCTCGACGTTCCATATCAGCTCATCAGTTGGTATCGTTGTGATAGGGAAAAGAAACGTACCTCAAATTTGTGCCTTATCAGGATCAAATTCATATATTTACATCCTACAGATCCCATATTCTCCCTAAATCTTTGAACGAACCAGAGCAAATCGAGGATCGACGTCGTCGGTCTGCAACTTTCGCTATGAGCATTGTCGTTAGTGCCAACATGGCCATGGTCAAGGACGAATTATTCTGGAGAATATGCGTATTTACGATATTTATTGACTTAAACAACATGCAATGAATTTTTATGTTTATTTATTGACTGTTTTGACAATCTAAGTTGGATTTTATCGATATTCATCTTGCATACGTTTCTTTGCGGCATAAAGTATTCCTACGCCGAACAAAATAACGGATTGTATGGCGGCCTCAAAGAGAAATAATTTTGATAATTTTAAAAATTCGTAATTGGAATTATAAAAATTAAACGATCTTTTTTTTTCAGAGAAAGGCAGAGTTTACACATCGATAAATTTTGAAAAAAAGAACGTTTAATCCTATAATAATAGGATATTGTCTGAGTTGAGTTTTTTTCTATTAAGATCACAAACAATTGAGTAGAAGTATGAAAGAAACATATGAGATTCGATGTACATAAACGTTCTTACTTCTGAGAAATCTTAAAACCAGAAGTCTCTGGTGAGACTACAGATCTACTAGTCTGTACATGTAACAAAGGAAAAGTAGCACTTGGATTTAAAACTTTGCAACAGGCAGCAATTAATAGAAGTATGTATCTTAGTGTAGTCAACTTGTGTGCCAACTTATATTGAAATCAGACCAAAACTGTAGGAGGAGTAGCATTTTAAGGAATTTTACAAAATTTCTATATTTAGTAACCATGCCAACATCGTTCTTCCAGGCACATAGCAACAGGGGGGCCAGGGCCAGGTTGTGTTTGGCCCCCCACTTTTTTTCCCAACATTACCTTTACTATTGAAAATGTCCATTGAAAGGTTGGTTGACCTCCCCACTTCTTACCAAAGTATAGTGATATCAAGAAAATGTATTGTATGCCAAAAAATTGGAAGTGAAAGGAAGTTGGCCTCGAAAAAAAGTTGCCCCCCTCCCCCTACGAAATAGGATTTTCGAGGTTGGGCAATTTTTCCCTTTTTCCTTTTTTTGGCTTGTCAACTTTTTATTATTATTATTTATTATTATTATTATACAAAATTTATAGAGCGCCTTATATAATAAACACAATTACTCTAAAGCGCTGTACAACATAGTTATTTCGTGACATTGTACTTGGACAACAACAGAAACAAAATTGATCAGATTAACCCTGTAAAAGGTTAAGGATGTCTAAAAATAGTCAATAAAACAAGACATTATTTGTTTTGGCGTGCTTGTCATGGCCATTTAATAAAATATCAGATATAATACAATGTATGCGCCGATGATGATTATATGGCAGCATAGGTAAATGCATATAGATAATCATAAGCATGAGAAATACCATCTTGATCCAAGGAGCCTGGAAAAAACAGTACCCCCCGGAGACAGCATTCTTTGCAAAATTAATATGCCAAATGGGTCAAGGGACCAAGTCCCATGACCCATCCGCCACAAACTCAAATGGGGGCGGCAATTTTGCAACCCAAAGTAACAATAAAAGTACAAATTGTGCACAAGTTAAGTACAAATTGCACCAAAATTATGCCAAATCGGATAAAGTCACATAAAGCACAAATTGTGCACCAAATTAGGTACAAATTGCACCAAATAACTAAATTAGTGAAGAGGCACAAATTGCGCCCTACATTTAAATTTTGATATGAAAACAAATTGCATTGAAAATGACAAAGGTGCAACTCGCACACAATTGGCTCATGACAAGCATCAAGGAAATGTTGTCGAAACAAAATTACAACCAATGAAATGATCCAAAGCATTTCTCAAAGTATTGATAAAAATACTGTTTCCCAAATCTGACAAATGAACTCCATCTTTTCTGAATAAATCCTTGCATTGAGCTTTAATATCTGGATAACTGACTGATGCACCCCGACCCTGAAACTTATTTAGCACAAATGTAGCACAAGCACTATTAATTCTACGTCTACACTTTTGTCCTTCTGTATTTGCAAGGCAATTAATCCAATTATTTCGAGGCAAAATACGTGACCAAATAATAAAAGTTTGTGGAAGTAAATTAGCAATATTTGCCAAAGTTGTCTTGTAATATTTTTGAAGACCCCTTAATGGATTGTGAGCCTGACCAATATTGTTGCCCCCACAATGTATAATAATAATCTTTGTTGGCTTGTTACGAGCTAACAAAAATTCAATTGTGGGATATAATTGCTCCCAGACCATACCCCGAATTCCATGCCACAAGATGTTGGAAGACTCCTGCCCAAGATTCTCTTGATTTGAATTCTTCGCATATATGTGAGCCCAATGAATAATTGATGAGCCAATGATCCAAATGGAATCTAAATATAAAATTTAAAATTGATGAGCAAATTAAACACTATTTTTTTTTAACTGTAACTTTGTTTCATCTCATAATACATGTATTTGAACAGAATGTAAATTTACAACGAACATGGTCTTATGTAAGATTTGTAAGCTGCTGACTGCCACCTTCCCATCTGCTTAATATGATCCTCTGAAAACCCTTTTGTATACAAGTGGGTTGCACCCCCAATGCGAAATGAGTGTGTTTTAAATTGAGTTGACTGAATATTCAAAAACTGCAAAGCTTTGTGTAACATGGATGAAAACTGGTATTCGGTAAAGGGTTTGGAATTAAAATGTGAAAAGTAGGACACCCTTTTTACATTGGTACTTAATGCAGCAAACGTCTGCATGCAAAGATTGAAACAATATTATTGTATCATTTGATTTTTTCACATGCACAAATGCCCCCACACAATTTGATCAGTCTTAGATGTTTTGATAAAGACTTCAATGGTATCACTAGATACAGTAATATGCTTGACACCCAAAGCCACCACTTCACTCACCCTTAGTAATGCTAAGAAAACCAATGCAAAAGCAGACTGAAATAAAGCTGCTTCAAAATCAGAAAAACACAAATGTGGCAAAACACTGACAATGCTATTCAACATAGGTAATGTAATTGGTTTTCTTATATCCTGAGATACATTACATCTCTTGTAACCAGCCAATAACTTCTTAATAATAAATGAATCCACTGGATTCTGCCAACCATGCAAGTTAATGACAAAACTGATTCCTGATAAATAGCATTTGACAGGAGAAAAAGCCATATTACTCTCTGACAGATATGCTATAAAAGAACAAGGTACACTTTTAGTGAAAAGTTCGCCCGATTATTTCCCCAAAATTAAATATGCATATTTAATTCTCTCTTTTATGTTTTTTATTGAAGTAACCCTCAGAGACACCAAATCATATTACAAAACAAGAAAACATGTGCGCATGCGCACTACGCACTGTCAAACAGATGTTGTATTTGGCTATTTTTGCCATTATTTGCACATTTTAGCACCAGAAAAAGTCAAAATTCAATGCCTCCACAGTGATCGCCCACGATTAAATTTTGACAGAATGAATATCAGATGAAAGTTTATATTCAGTCTTAATTTCATCGTGGGCGAGGGCTGTGGACATAGTTTAATCTTAAAAAATAACTTGATCAGTTTTTAATCGTAACGGTTGCTATGCTGATAGTGTACGTTATTTAGTTTGAGTTATAATCTCAATACGATGTATTCAAGTTATTTGAAAGCAAAAAATCATTTAAGTGTTCAGTAAAGCTTCTAACAGTAATTTTGTAATTCTTTTTCCTTTTTTTATATTTATAAATTATCCGGAATATTTTTATCTCGCCGTTTTTGTGACGTCATTTTCGTTTCTATGGGTGAGTGTAAACAATACCTGTACCAAGATTCTGGTTTACAAACATCATGACTTGACAGGTGAGAAAAAAAATTGTTTGAAAATTTTAATATGTTCCGTACTGTATGAAGGATCATGCATTAATGTGATAAGCTAATTTATTCCGACGATGTTTTTTTATTATAATTATGTAAAAAGTCTGTATGTTCAGTTTGGTATCTCGTATGTCATCATACGCCGAATAACTAAGCAAAGGATAAAGGGGGGAAGAAATATAAGAACGGAATCATAGAAATGTAGATTATTAGCCTATTTAAATCATTACATCAAGAAATGTATGTGTTCGTAAAATATATAGGCCTATAAGGGCTTGTCAAATGTCAACATCGTCTGCAAGCTTTATTGGCTAATGGCTAATATTAGAATGACTAAGGGCTTTGGTGCATTGCGTTATGTTTAATCCTTGCACAGCATAATGCTCTTTAAAAATATGACATAATATATGAAAAGAACTTTTGTGTTTTGTCTTAATTTGTAATGTTTTTTTTTTTTAAGTTTCTTTTTCCGGAAAGTTATATACTGTACACTTTCTTCTACTCATGAATATATGCGACTGATTGGCCTTGATCGATTATAGTCAGAGCTTGCAGTCTTACCTACTGGTAGTACGTGTTCGCGTCCCTCGTACAGTACATTTTTTTTATTTTTTAAATAACCACATTTTATTAAATATATTTATGATATATATATATTATTTCAAATACATGATCGTGAGTATATTTTCTTTTTAGGATGGACAGGAGGTATTTTACTTGCGTATTGTGTGGAGGGAGACCTCTTTCACATGAGCGCCGTCCCGTTCAGTCTGGGCAAATAAACATCCTGTCAAAAAACTTTGCAGTTGATGCAACTGTATCAGACATTTTGTGCAATAAGTGCCGCCACAAATGTCGTAACATATCTAGAAAAAGGGAGGTGTCACGGTGCACAATTTCTGATAAAGATGAAGCTAATGATCCATCTTTTACATCACCAAAGCGCACTAAATTAACAGTCATGTCAAGTCCTCCATCTGTGTCATTACCATTCTTATCTTCCACCAAAAGTCATGGCTACTGTTTTGTGTGTAAAAAGCCGGGACCAAAACTTATTTCTATTTCAAATCATGCTCGTTTACATGTACTAATCGTAGGAGAAATAATAATTCCTTCAGGGGCAAGGTGCTGTGCAAGTCACATGATAGACGGTAAGCTTTCGGAGAAAGATATAGAAAAAATTAAGACCAGTGAGGGTGTGTTGCTGAATAGGACCTCAGTGTATAACATTATTCAGGACTTACGGGAAATAGCTTCCCGCAATACCAGGCTAGATTTTGATGATGAGGGCAGCATGGATGACGATGACTACAAGATTCTTACTGGACTTACTCGTGGGGAATTTCAAGATGTTGTGTCAACGGTGACCAGTATCAACTCAACGAAAGTAAGAAGTAAGAGGACATGTATTGCTATCATGCTAGTGAAACTGCGTACAGCGATGTCAAACAAAATGCTGAGCGTTTTATTCAACATGACAAAGCATCAGGTTTGTATATTATTTTATATCGTTTTATGCAATGATCAGGATCTTATTTATAGATAATGAAATATATGTATATGTTATAAAATATACTAGTATATATTACAAATCTGTAAAATATTTTGCAAAAAGGTTTAGACATTTTTAAAATTATTTCTATACAGATAAGACGAGCTGTTAAATCAGGGAGAAAAGCACTGATGACAGATTTTGTACCCCAAAATCTGGGTTTTCAACACATCACGCGGGAGGCAGTGATTGAGAATCATACGCGCCAACTAGCTAGGGATCTTTTCAATGGCAGTGCTACCACAGATCCGGCAATTCTAGTGCTAGATGGAACTTATGTGTATATTCAAAAAAGTTCTAACTTTGCATTTGCCAGAAGGTCTTATAGCATCTACAAACACAGACCCCTCGTTAAACCCATGATGGTTGTAACTACCACGGGTTACATAATCTCCGTCCTTGGACCCTACCTAGCTGATGCCAAAAACAATGATGCTAGCATTCTGAGACATATGATCCTACACAACACTGAAGAAATGAAATCCTGGTTAAAAGAGGACGACGTGTTTGTTGTGGACAGGGGTTTCAGGGATGTTGGAGATGTGTTGGGTGATCTCGGTATCCAAATGGAAATGCCGTCCTTCATGCAGAGTGGAGAAAAACAACTGACAACCCATGATTCAAATATTTCTAGAGTGGTCACAAAGGTAAATAATTCATGTATTAATTGTTGCAGCTCCCTTAAAAAGACTTGTCAAAAAGAAAGAACTGATATTTTATAAGATGAAATTGATGTAAGATATTGTTATTATATAGTGGCTGCAACGTAATTGTTGACAAACCAATCATGTAGAATCGTTCGTGTATCGTGCGTGATCGTTCGTGTAAATTGTCAACAATAACGTTGCAGCCACTGTATCTCTACTGACATTTCACGTTAAGACCGCGGAACATTAACTGGCAAAATTGGAAATATACAGCTTACGTCATTTCTATCTGTTACAATCAAAACATTCAGTGATAGACAACGAAATGGGCGGGTACAATTCGACGCGGACGTTTGGGAAACATCGGATTAAAATAACAGATCGAAATTCATTTTCAATCCACCTGAGCTGTTTTCAAAGCAAAGAGTGCATGAATGTATGATCCAAAAATCAACTATATTTCAACTCCCAAAAACATATTGTTTGAAGTTCACATTAATATGAGTTTTAGCTGATAATTTTAAGAACGCGAAATATCATACAAGACAAAGATTATTTTTCAGGAGATATTAGATTGATTTTAGAAGCCCCCCCTTCTTAAATCAGTCTAATATCTCCTGAATGTAAAAATTGTAGAGTCAGGTCATGGCTTAACATGACAATATATTTTATTTCTAGGATTATAAGAGTGCATGAGTTTTATACTTATTCTCACTAAAAACTGTTAGACAACATTATTTAAAAATCGTTCAACCCCTCCCCCAACACAAAGATATACATACACAAATTTAACAAACAGAAATGAAATATTTCTCCCTTAAATATTTATTCATTTAAAACACTGGACAACTTGAAATTATTTGTCTTCTGGGTCAATCTGTAATAATGTGCCTTCTAGCGTAGCTCAGGTGGATTGAAAATGAATTTCGATCTGCTATTTCCATCCCATGTTTTCCAAACGTCCGCGTCGAATTGTACCCGCCCATTTTGTTGTTTTGATTGTAACAGATAGAAATGACGTAAGCTGTATATTTCCAATTTTGCCAGTTAATGTTCCGCGGTCTTATAAAAGAAAATCTATATATTTTGCTGTTTTCACGAAAATTATCGTAGAAAGCCTATTTCCTTGCAAAAAAAGTGTGTCAATTACACCTATTCGGAACAACCAGCAATTTCTTTTAATCATGCGAAAACTTACGGATATTCTAAATGATGTCATGAATATTCATAAAGCAGCTCCCTCAATGATATACTTTAATTGTACGACCCCTCACCTCCCCCTTTTTTCAATTTTAACTAACCATACAAAAATTGCATTTTTTTACCACTGTATTATAAGTACTTGAACATGCTGAAATCATATGTTTTAGAGTGAGTGATTATTAATGTATGTTTTTCATTTTAGGTCAGATGGGTCGTGGAGGCTGCAAACGCTCGACTGAAACAATGGAAGTACCTGGAGAAGACAATTCCTAACACTCAGATACCATGCATCGGGGATTACGTGAGAATTGTGTCAGCCATTTGTAACAGATATCGGCCTCCTTTGTGCACTACGACATCTGATGACCAGTCAGTTGCTGCAAAAATGCTGCATCTATCCCGGAAAGAAAACGCACTGCAGAAACGTGTGGAGGAAGAGGGTTTAGACAAGAGGTCAGTTCGTTGGGTAAAGGTTGACGCCGAGCAGTGCTCGCCAGATTTCCCAAAATATGACGAAAATGATTTAAGAGAGCTAACCTTAGGCGTGTACCAACTTCGAATGGCCCGATCATATGCACACGAACACACGGACATCGACGGTAAATACGAGATTTTAGTGAGTGATGATATCCAGGGAATACTTTCTGCTAAAATCCAGAGTAGACATATATCGGCTAAAATTTATAAGTGCTGGATAAGTTATAATGATGGTGTCATTGACGGTTGGTTTTGTAAGTGTAAGGCGGGAAGCAGAGTGGTTGGGATGTGTGGCCACATCACCAGTGTCGTGTGGTTTCTGGCGTACGCGAGACATGACGTCGATTCTTTGAAAGGTGTCAGGAATTGGAGCACCTCTGTTTATGATGCATCAGATCTACCAGAAATCATCGATGAATCCGACAGTGATGAGGACAGTGAAGTTGAGGAGTGAACGAACAATCATTTTTAAATAGTATATAATTTTTAAATTCTGTAAATTGAATCTAGTACGACGATGTGAATGTACTTGAAAGTTTAAACGGTGTTGAACAATTTCTTAATTATTTTAATGGGTAATTTTCACTATAATGTAATGTTAACTACTCGTATGAAATAAAAAAAAAAAGGTGATAATTCAACAAAATAAAAATGAATTTAGACGTCAATGCTGAGGAGCAAACATACATACAAGTTTGTGTAGTGTAGCGCTGAGATTTAACTGTCAACCAAAGGACGTACAATAACAATAATAATGCAAGGATTTTTTTTTATCACTGGTTGGTTTCCCACGTAAATTATTCAACGGAGTAAAGACAAAGGCACTGGATGAACAGTTATCATTGACCACAGGCACTTGTTTCGGAAATAAATTTAACTCAGAGTGCTAAAAATATTATTATATTATGGGTATAAATATATTTCCAAAACAAGTGCCTGTGGCGTTGACTAGCGGTGCAAAAGTCGGCACTGCATGATACTAGGCAAACAGTGTATGATACTTCATGTAATTTTTCCATATCGTATGGCATTTAACAACACACATTTCATTTTCAAAGGTTCTTTAAAGAAAGAGAGTTCGAAATACAATTTAATTGAAAACATAAAAAAGAAGAATAATAAAAAATTCACGATCGTTTCAGTGTAAGAAAATAATCTGAGACTGACGTGACGTTAAAATGGCGTAACGATGCTGTTCCAGTTCAGTGTACATACAATATAAATGTATGCAAGTTTATAATATCATCAGAACTTATCGAATGATTTCTATTAACTAGAAAAGTTTTAATTTCTCTTGATAAAATACCGGTATTTTAGAAATTAATATTTTTTTTATACAGAAGAAGTAAATATCTCAATCTAAATTAAAAAAAATCAGCGCTTGTACTGTAGTTTTTCATAACGTTACTGAGTTAATAACGTCGTAAAATGAGCGACGTCATTTAAGATAGCAGAGTGCATATACAGTGTACGAAGGAGTATATTTCAGATTCTTTTAAAGATATCAGAAAAAAAATACTTCATTCATCAAATAGACTTATTCTAATACTTTATATAGTAATTTGGTTGATTTCCTGTGTAGGGCAGATTTTTGCTAGAACTGTACCTTGCTCTTAATCATATGATCAATGGGTGGGGGCCATATCTGCCGAAATGACAACTGTTGCCTAAAATTGAAAAAACTTCGCAATCCCTGACGGTATACACTTGCTGTACTTTGAGATACACTGGCCTGCAGAAGACTGGCTACAGTTCCTGAATAGCTCTCCAAAACTGAATAGGTATCATGGAGGGAAAGAGATCTGCCAAAGGAGCCAACTGACGAAACCTGGTCCACTGAAACTTTGTTCCTTAAAGATATGTATGCCGTGTTAAACAGTATTTTTGCACAGCTGAAACCGAACAAAAATTTCTGGAGTATGATAAGCTACCAAAAATGAAGCATTCTTGCAAATTCGACGAAATTTTATTCGGTATTAACAAAGTACTGGTTAGGAAAAGAACACGATATTCTCATGCATATTTATAAAGGACTGACGTTTATCCTGGATCTGCGCATGTGCGCGGGAAAAGCATCGCGAGAATCATCAGGTCGAGGAAAATATTTTTTGTGACGTCTGTTCAGTGAGGGACACAAATAGACCAATCAGCTCAATGAGTTGCATTTAATGCATTTATGGGTTACTGCATAAAATACTATATGTGTTTTTCAAAAAGGCTAGTTTTTTTTAATCGCTCTCAGAAAGACGATGCATTATGTACATTATTATCTACTAATCATATGCTCATATTTGCATACAAATGATTAACAATGATGAAAATTAAAGTTTTCCCCACACATTGTACAGGTCCATTTGTTTAGAGTTTCCCCGTGCTGTACTGCTAGTGGGCCTTTTCGGTTGGGTGAACATTTATGGATCTTCAGTATGGAGCGCATTATGCGCAAAAAATATTTTATGTCAAGAACAATGTATGGAAAGTAATTTAAACTGCTATGTTTACACCCTGAATGGGATATTGTCAATTATCCCTTTTGGGTTTTTTTATATGAACTACATAACATATGCAGATGAAACTTACATACCATACATCTTGCCTTCTTAGAAATATAGTTGGGGTAATAAAATAAAATTGGTCAAGGAATTCCAGGCCTCTAAAAACTATTCCAGTTTCCAACTATTCCAACCTAGCATTTCGATGAACACCATTAAGAAAAATTAATTCAGGTAGGTAGCATCGTTTCTTTTTAAAGTGGGTGGGGGATAAAACAGTTAGAATAAAAATCAACTAGCTCGAAGAAATCTGACAAGTAGAATAAGTTCCAATATCTTTCATTACTAAATTTTATTTATTCACTACAATTTACTGCCAAACTCCAAATTTCACTTTCGAATTAGCCCGAGCCAATGCTGATAACCTACTTCCAAGATTTTTTAATATTATTTTCAAGGGGTCAGAAATACTGTGGCTCATATGTAAAGAATATAATTATATTATTTAGTAGTATTCTGGTTTTGGCATTCGGTATATTGTGCAGATTTATACATGATATTCTGTGGAATACTTTTTGTTGTTTTGAACCAATAAGAAATGCAGAATCGCATGTATCTAATAACCATTTTGATTGATCAAATTATATCATTTGTTTGTATTTGTCATTTCATTTTGGCACAACATGGTTTCCACACTTCTTTATCCATAGTCGCTGACATCTGTAGAAGTTCACCCAACCGAAAATGTCCATTGAAAAGACAATTGGACGTGATTATTCTTCGGTACAAAATGCAACCAACTCTGAGGTGTTCTCAATAATGACAATCCCTAACTCACGTGTTTGTAGTAAAAACGTAGTAGACCATCATGCTTTTCGGTTCATTCACGAGATTGGACCATTGTTTGCTGTAAACATGCGAGACAACGTGATCATGAATATTTCAATAAGAGGCGGTTTTTTATCCGACACGGAGAGAAAATAATTTTTACCAAATAATATTTCATAACTTTTAAAAGTGATGGAGTGGAATTGTCTTATTTGCAGAAAGTATTTAACTTATATAACTTGATGAGACACCACATATATTTATTACTTTTAAAATAAAACACTAATACGGCATATATAGCTTTAAGCTTTCAGCCCAAATCATAACCCCTAATACAATAGGTACAAGTTCTAATAAAGTGATATCCCTGTAGCATTCCTCAGGCCAGCCATCAGGCCAATGCACTGAATGCAGGCAACACCAATGTTTACCGAACACCACACCGCAACCATGAGAACTTGAACTATCTGAATAAAAATGGAGTGAATCATCTTCCTGCCATACAAGACTAGGAAATTGTGTCTTACCATTAAAATCAGTAAGAAATTTAACCCACATTAACAAGTCTAACTTAATTTCTGCTGTAATTCTTATAAAATGAAAAGATTTTTTGACTCCTGCCACTGAACCGTAAAGTCTTGTACAAAATGCCCTACCAGCTGGCAATGCCTTAACCACAAATGCAAGCGCCCGTGCCAATGACTGCATTTCTTTCAAAGTAACCTTTTTTAAATTAAGTATTCCATTTATTTTTGCCAATAACTCCCTAACTTTATCATTTGGAACAAAAACAGTTCTGGAAATAGTATCTATGCCTAAACCTAGAAAACTCAAACGAGTAGAAGGTCCTTCTGTTTTCTCAAAAGCTAAAGGAATGCCTAATTCTAAACATAACCCTTCAAACTGTCTCATTAAATCCAAACACTGAGATGAATTGGCCCTTCCTACAAACAAAACATCATCTAAATAGTGAATAATACTTTTGAATTTAGATCTCTGAGATAATTCCCAGTGAAGGAATGTAGAAAACTTCTCAAATAAAGAGCACGACAATGAACAACCCATAGGTAAGCACTTGTCAATGTAATATGCACCAGAGTGTTGAAAGCCTAATAAACAAAAATCCTGTGGACTAACTGGTAACAGGCGAAATGCACTGGAAATGTCCATTTTTGCTAATAGGGCACCCTCACCCTCACTCGCAATTAAAGAAACAGCATCATCAAAAGTGGAATAACTGACAGAACACAAATTGGGGTCTATGTAGTCATTAACACTGTCACCCGTTGGATATGACAAATTTATCATTCGCCAACCACCTTGTTTTTGGGAACTAAACCTATTGGATTACATCGCAAATTAGATATTGGGGGATCTAAAAATGGACCCATTATTCTTCCTAACTTAACTTCCTTATCAATTTTTTTCTTGTATTTGAAAGCTGTACTGCATTGCAGATTTCATGTTTTTAAACTCCACTCTCCTCCTAGGACCATCAAAATTCAAGGAAAAACCAAACTTGAAACCCAAGGATAAACAATGAGCATCTTGAACATTTGGGTAGGTAGGTAATAGTTGATTCAGATTTTCATAATTGATAGGTGAGTGACCTAGTTCCCATAAATTCTGACAATTATGTGGCAGAATTGGACTGCGACTGGCCCTTTGAATACTGGAACCGCTGGTTCCTGGAATGGAAATGTGCACGATTATTGAAATTGGTCTTTGATGAAGACTGTTCTGACACAGCAGTTGAATTAGCCTTGAAACATTTCACTAAAGGATGAAAAGAATTACATTTAAGACAACTATGCACATAATTGCAATTTGACTTGTTGCAAATGCCCTGATAATTATAATTGTAACATTTATTGCGGGGCTGCGCTGACTGCTGGCGTGATAAAGGGTTAGTAGGAGCAGTGGACGATTGCATATAGATCATCCACAGCTCTGCATCAAAAGAGGCCCAACTTAAAGCGGTGTTGTAAGATTTTTTCAGCCTAAACTGAATATCATAATCTAACCAGTTGCCCTTGATTTTTTCAGCTCCCCTCTTTATCAATGCCATATATCTAAACAATGAGATTGCTTCAGATGGATATTTGACTAAATAAACTGATGCAAAAATTGCAAA